AGATACAACAGCAAGGTCAACAATTATAGCACAAGCAAGACAAAGATCAGGAGTGGCAAAAGCAAGAGAAAGAAGAGGAGCAGCAAAAGCAAGAGAAAGAGCAGGGGCAACAGTACAGAAGTGTAAGACCTGCAGCAGCAAGGGAAACTGTTAGAGCAGCAACAAGAGCAAGAACAGCAAGAGCAACAATGAGAGGAGTAGTCCTTCGGGACATCCGTTAAAATTGAAACGGCACAGATAAGATTAGCACGGCCCCTGTGCAAGGATGACACAAATAAATCGAGAAATGATTTCTTCCAAAAAATAAAATAAAATAAAATCAGTAGAGTCACAAAGACGAGTTATAATTGCACTATCATACAGTTTGCAATTGCACTTCAGGCAGTGCCACCCTGCCTGGCCAGAAAGCTGCATTGTATCCATTGCCCGAACTGCATTTCGAAACTGTATCCTGGCCCATAGTGCAATTATAACTCATTTTTGTGACTCCTGCGTAGTTTCCCCCCCCCAGGAAAACAATGAGAGGAGTAGCAAGACCACCACCAACAACAAGTCTTAAGAGCAACAAATACACACAGGTTGAGAGCCCCTGGTGTTGAAGACGAAAAAACCGGATTGTCGGCCACCCTTACCCATGAGAAACTTCCATGTCCGGTATGACGATCTTTGAGTCAGCTGGGTTGGCAGGAAAAGGAGGAAGCTTGCAGCAGCTGCCTCTTCAGAGCCGAGGTGGGGGCGAGACAGGCCAGGTAAGGAGAGGCTTAAGGATGACTGTGAGAAAGGAAAGGCAGTGACCACATCTCCGGTGAAGAGAATGAGAGATGGAGAGAAGGAACATAAGAAGGGTTGCAGAAAGGGTCTGGTTAAGGATAATGATCCAGACTCAAAATGACATGAGGACGGGTAGTTGGAACTCCGATTCTCAGTAAAGATGTGCACGGGGGTGTGCTAAGCACGCGTGCTTAGTCTCTGTGTGTGCAACTGAAGCGATTCAGTGTGAGGTTGGTTCGTTCATGTGGTGAGTTCTTTGGGAATGCGGTTGTGCATTTATCCTGTTAGAGTGCCATCAGCTGGGTAGGTCAGGTCTGTTTCGCAGAGTCCAGTGTCCACATACGATGATCAGCGGCTAGACTGCACTAGTCTGCTTCCACATTTATTTTTTTGCACTGTTTTTCGCTGAATCAGTTTTTTTTAATTTATTATTATTTTTTTTTAATGTTTTGAAGGGCAACGGCCTTGAGATATAGTCATTGAACTGATCGACCCCGGCCCCCAGGTATTTCAGAATGATTTTATTCTGTTCATCTGACAGTATCTGGATTCGAACTTGGGTCTGCATTGCAACGGTTCACAGGTGTGCCAACTGAGCTACGCCTATTGATATGAATGATGAATCTAAATTATCAAGTCTATTTCATGACTTTTATTAATTTTTGCAGAATCTGTTTTTTGTTTCTCTCTCTCTCTCTCTCTCTCTCTCTCTCTTTTTTTTTTAATTATTTAAATTTTTTGTCTGTTTTCCGTGGAATCCGAGTGTACTACAGATCACCCAACCCTTCTCCAACACCCCCAAACAAAGCCTCTAAACACCCCCAGACCTACGTTGTATACCCAGACTCTGACTGCCTATTCTTCATGTTTCCAATTGACTTACGGGTTCTAGAGGGACGGCGCTGAAACACTATCTCCTCTTTAAATGGGTTTTTTCCTGGGCAGGTGGTATCGTGCCACCCTCTGTCAAAATAGCGCAGAAAGAGTTCTATAGGGCGTGGCTGAGGGGATTATCCTATGACACCTTCTTGGAGTGCAGTGCTGATTGTGCTGTTGGTGGTGTCTCTGGGTTCGGAGGGGGCTTAGAGACAAACAATTCATACAGCATTACCATCTTTAGTGAAACAGAACGCCCGGTCATTATAGCCGTATTTGGTGCAATTTCAGTCCAGATACAGTGACAATGACCGGGTGTTCTATTTGGATGAGGACGGTACGATGTAGAATAGCCGCGGCTGGTGGGGTAGATGTATGCTGGACTCCACCAGGTGGCAGGGGGGTGGTGGAACTTATTCATTAAAGTGATCTGGGATTGGAGATGGGTGGCCCACCCGCACTTAAAAGTCTGGCTTTGGAGGGCACATTACCCTTGCACGAGGGCAATCAATGCTGTTCTCTCTTCTACAAACCTGGCTCCAATCTTCTGACAGGGATGCTGGGCCCGGTTTGCAGCCGGCAAAAAAAAAGGATGATAATCAAGATCTCAAAAGAACGAAGTTATACAGAAAATCTGAAAAAGTGAGAAGGAGGATTCCGACTGCTAAGCCTTGTTGATCCTAAGCTGTACCTCCGAGTTTCACTGACCAAGTGTGGCCTCTCAGGCTTTTTGAAATGAGCCAAGCACTCGTCATGTTCAACCTCGCATACATCAATGAACATTCACGTGAGAAGCCAAATCGAGATACAATCAACACCTGAAGATGTCGTCTCCAATATTATCATCAATATACAAGAATCTTTGTCTCCAGTGGCTCTGCCGCACACACACACACACCAGATCTCAATCAGGTGGCCTCCTCGCTCTTCTCTCTTCTCTCTCTCTCTCTCTCTCTCTCTCTCTCTCTCTCTCTCTCTCTCTCTCTCTCTCTCTCTCTCT